AGTCTATTCCTGTGGGGTTAGAATTGAGAGAGCTTAAAGCTCAAATCCAAGGGATTTTTTATAAAGGTTTCATCCATCCTAGTGCTTCCCCGTGGGGTGCTCCTGTCTTGTTTGTTAAGAAGAAGAAGGGTAGTATGAGGACTAGTGATTTTATCTTAAACCATAAAAGAGTGGATTGATACTGGAATGACAAGCTTATGGATAAAGAAAGTTCCATTGAGTATACTTGGGTGAAGGAAATTGAAGATTTTAGTAAGAAAATGTGTACCAAGATTGGGTTAGTCCTTTGAATTGATGAGTTTACCTGAGTTTGAGGTGTCGTGTTGATGAAATGTTGGTTTCATAGTGATAGTCAAGGCTGACTGAGTGTAATAGTAATAAGAGTTTGTGATGGATTGTGACGGGATACAACTATATAATAAAATTGTTGGTTAAGCAAATTTTTGTATAGTAATTACGACTTGCGAGTATCTAAAGGTTGTGGTTTTCTAAAATTCGGTGAGTAACGTGGTTGTATGGAACGTTTAAGAGATGGTGGGACACCATTCGAATAGAAATTAAAGAACTGGAGTCATAATGAAGAAAAATAGTGGGAGGTAGTACTGCCTTTAGAGAGAGGCGAGAGCAAGAATATTTTATTTAATTGCAAAGGTTGAAGAGATATCTTCAGAGGGGTAGATAATTGGGTTCAGAGACACATGATATATTTCATGATGATGTGGCTATGGTAATAGGGTCACAAGTCTGTCAGATTGGTTAAAAACTATTGAAAAGGAACTTGAGAAAGGAGTGTACAGACATTAGCTCGAGTGTGATGATAAGTGCTTTGTTTTATTTTGAGTTTAGTAATGAGTACGATTGAATTTTAGCAAAGGATATTGTGAAATCGATGGAGATGCGATCCATGATAAGCGAAGATCCATGAATTTATAAAAATCTTTGAGGTATAAGTTGATGTTGATAGATAAGGGGATTGTGTTACGGTTGAATTTACAATCCAGATTTTTCATTAAAAGTTTACATTCGTGGTGATATATTTTGCCAAGGTATGAATTTCAAGGTGGAGAATGATCAATTGTATCAGGTATTGAGCATTTGAAAAGACTTACACCTGGGTTGAGTCGTAAAGTTGATTTCTGTTGATTGTTAAAGTACCTTAGAAAGGTTTTCATTTAAATAGTGTTGATTTATAATAAGGTAAATGGTCGGACTGTTTATGATGGTTGTTAGTGTTGTGAGTATGATTCACTAGCTATGCTCTAGGAGTCATAATGAAGAAAAATAGTGGGAGGTAGTACTGCCTTTAGAGAGAGGCGAGAGCAAGAATATTTTATTTATGATTATTTCAAATGACATAATTGGTGTTGTCTTGGAGTTGTTAAGGTATTTTAGTGGTTCTACATGTACCACCTTGCTTATGAGAATTTATAGAAGAGCTACCGTGTGTATTTATGGTTGTCCGACAATCTAATATTTCATCTTGTCGTCGAGGTCATGTATCGATTATGTGTGGTTGAATGTAGGGATCATTGGGTCCAATTCTACTATTCTTAAGAGGTAATCTACAATTACTAAATCTAGCATTTCAATAGTGTTGTTGGAGGGGTTGTATACTTGGACATATCCCTCGATGAGTATCTGATTTCTAAAGATCAAAATTGTTATAACTTAAGCTCATGGGAATTTATGTTGTGGGATGGAGATGTTGTAAAGAACTGTGATTGTTTGGATATTATGATTGTGTGTTGGTTTGTTCAGGTTCACTTCTAATTGTAGCGAGTATTAATTTAGAATTTTATCATGGCTATGTGAGAAAGGATTTGTCCTGATGTTGTGCCAAAGTCCTTGATAACATGTTGCAGACATGTGTGCGATCAACTTTGGGGGTTATTGAGAATCACTTTTATTGTTAGTTTAGTTTACATACAACAATAATTATCACTCGAGGGTTGAGATGACTTCATTGAGACATTGTAAGGGAGGATGTGTAGGTATTCAATTGGTTGGTTTGAGGTTGGAGATGTGAAACCCTTAGGGGGGTAATGAGATTCAGTAAGAAGGGCATGTGATACAAGTATCCCCAGTAATTCGACGATTCAGATACTACTCTACCCTTACTTTAGCCAGTCTTTCCTAGTTGATCACTCGGGGACGAGTGATGGGTAAATTGGTATCCATTGTAACGACCTGAATTTCGTCATTATGGAAAAGCCAATGGAGAAAGAATAGGGGCCAGAAACATTTTCGTAGTAACTTGGATTTTCCCAACCTAGTCCAGATTTGGAGGAAATTGGAGTCATTAAGGTGTAGGGAAATCTGGTAACAATTGGGTGAATAATTTATGATTTTGATTACATGAGTAGTTAGATAACTCGTTAAGGAACTCGTACGACTTTACGGAATCGAATTTGGGCGAGTAGAACTCCCGAAAATGATCTTAGAGAGAACAGGTAACATTCTGTCTTCGTGTAGGCCGCCAGAGCGGGATTGGAGCCGCCAGAGCGGGATTGGAGCCACTAGAGCGGGGCCGCTGTAGCAGGATAGGTCCGCTGTGGCGGGCTAGATGCGACTTGAAGTCGTTAATAAACCCTTAAACGACCTTATTTGGCACTTTTTGATTTTTAGAGCTAAGGAGACGACCACAGGCGACTTCTTGACCGTTTTTCATCATTCTTGAGGCTAAAGGTAAAATTTTAAATCCCCAAATCCATTTTTTGATTCGTAAAACGTAATCTAGTGGGTCATTATCGATGGGGGAGGGTTTTGATCTAGAATTTATGGTGGAAAAAGTCCTAAATTGGGTATTAGGATCTTGGGTTTGGTGTAGGGTTATTGGGTTTGTTATAATCCGGATAATTAGACCTTTGATTGTTGATCCGTGCATATAAATTGTTATTTGTAGACCTAGAACAAGCGGAAAGAATCCGAAAAGGGATGATTCAAGTGCCTTAGGGGATTCAAGCTTGGATTCGAGGTAGGTGATGGTTGTGATTCTATGATTGTGTGATGTATGCTTGTTCTTGCTTCATTATGA